TGTTATCTCAGACCTCTGGGGATATCCCCGGAAGCAAAAGCTGCTCTAAAGGAATTGTACAAGATTGACACCAACAGGAATTCCTTTCCAGACTCTGTGAGACTGTAGATTGGGTGTTTAGTTCCACTGAAAGAAGGAGAAGCCACTGGGCTTTCTATTTACTGGAGAACCAGTCCTGAGGATCCTCAATGGTCTGTGCGTGCGCGGAAGTCGCCAGAGGTGATCAAATCTTCCCCTTAACCCGCAGGGAGCAGACTGCAATCTCACACCTGCAGGTTAGCAGATAAGCCCTCCATATGCGGAGGCACTCGCCCAGATGTGCAGAGGATCCGAGCTGGCCCAGTCCCTCCCCCATCCCCGCAGAACAAAGGGCGGTCATTTCCTGCTCCTCCCAGAGTCAGAGACGACTGCACACGCCTTCCATCACAATTAACTCAGGAATCTGAAACACAACACAAACCGACCCGCAACACGCTCAAAATCAATGCTGTCAATACCCAGAACGAGGACACCGAAAAAGCAACACAAAACAAACCTATTCAAAGAGTAAATACTCAAAGCAACAGGGCTCGAATCAGACATACTACAAGGTCAACAAATTCAAGACAAGTTCAAGTATGGAGCGCATTATAAACTGAAGAGCTGGCTGTTCTCCCAGGGGTGGCAAAAGTAAATGCCTTCAGGGGCTAGGTAATGCAAAGGTCTATTAGGTAATAGAGAGTGGACCTGTCACAAACTGGACCATAGGTGTCCCTGATAAAGGCTTCAAATTGAATTTTTCAAAATTTCAACTCCTGCTACATGATTCTTAAACTGAGAGTTAACAATCAGACTAAGAAACCAGAATTAAATATAGGTTTAGGATGGATGAAATAGAATCTAAGAGTCAAAATCAGAAATGTTGCCAAAGAGTCCACATGGGATGAAAGGCAAGGCAGTGATCCTAGCTTTCATTGTTTGAAAGGATAGTGATCATTTGGTTTACATCTTCAAAGGCAATAGCAAAACAAAAGCTAAAAGAAATGACTTATTAAGCTCTAACAGGAGGGATTCAGATTAGTCAAATCGGTTCTTGATATAAGTAACTATCGAGCTGGATTACCAAAGGATTGCCACATTGCCTCGGATGGTGCAACGTAAATGGAGCCTCTGAATACTACAGGTGTGGCTTTATTGTAAGGCAAGGGTGAACCAAATGACCTCCCAAGGTCCTGATTTAAATGTCTGTATAGTCCAGTTTTGGTTATCCAGCCTGAAAAAGGAGACAGTGACAAATCATCCTAAGCTGAAGATAATAAAAAGTTATATTTGCCTTTGGAATGTATTTTGGTACTCAAATTAGAATGTGTCTTTCTGATGCTCTGAGAATTCGCAATGCTTCACAACAGCCACAAAGAAAGCCTGACCCGGAGCTGGGAGGCTGCCCAATTTTGCCATCCTGTCTTCTGTGTAACTCTTATTCTTTGCTGGGGGTGAGCAATAAATATCTTTCAGAATAACATCCAGCAGTCCAAGCGTTTTCAGACAGAGGCTGCCTGGCTCAACCCTGCCCTAGAAGAAGAGACAGGGGTCTCTTTAAATGGCTGATTTCACATCGAGACCCAGGATGATCTGGTTCTTGTTTCCGGAGGATGACTCCAAAGCCCTACAGGACCCATATAAACAGCAAGCTAGACAAGGTTGAGACTTCTAAACCTTGCAGTCGGTGCAAATGATGGTCTAGCTTCACTACCACAGAGGACAAAAAGGCACGTTTCTTGAAAGAGACAGAGAAAGAGACTTCACTGAAGAGGAAGATGAAATGAATGCCCAGTACTTGGAAAGAAAGAAGCTGAAGGCTCAGGAGGTGCAGGAGCAATCAATCCCCTGCACATCAAAGGACCGGCGGGATAAAGGCCTGCACACGGAGCCGCATTTACGCATAGGGCTCAGGGAGCTGACCTCAGCGAGTGGGCCCGTGGGGACACATATCACTCCCTTTGACCTGGAAAGGGCGTAGAAACTGAAAATTCTGCCACCAAACAGCTCTGCTTCTTCCCAAATAGACCCAGGCCAGCACCAGCCTTGGGGCCAAGACCTTCTCTGCTAGTTCTGTTCCTCGTAGCTGGAAGATGAAACGTGAGGAGAGAATTGCAGCCTGTGCCTATTATTTCAGCATGCCTCTGAGAGAGAGGCTGTGGAAAGGGGCAAAACAACTGCAAAAATAATGAAGTGAGCCGTAAGAGGCTCTTTGCATCTTCCTTTAGGGGGCGTACTCGGCCCTTCACACCCTTTCTTTCCTTCCATCTGGAACCGTGGGAAAAGAGTGCAACAAAGCAGGCGGGAAAACCAAAGGTCTCCTGCAACAACCAGGGGAGAAGGAGGGAGAGCCAGACCATGTGATGCAGAGCTGGCTGCTCAGTGTCAGTCAGGGGGTGGGGGGAGTGCAAGGTACTGAAATCAGAGACAGCTTCTCTGTGGAGACAGGGAGAGGCTTTCCATGCTCTGTGATCTGGCTAGCTCCTGCCAGACGTCCAAGTCCCAGAAAGAGAAGAAAATAGGGTGAAGACACTTTCTGTTCATGTCTCAGGTCTTACTTTTTTCTGTATTAACTTTTGGGAATAGAAGAGTATAACATCTTCCAAGACCAAAGGAGGGCAAAATAGTAGTAGCAACTTTGGGGATGAGGAGGAGAGAAGGACAGTTGCTCTGCTGTTCTCTGTCCTCTGTCAGTCTCCAGGGTCTATCGGAGGAGGCCATGGTCACCAAGTAGGAGGCAGGGCAACCATCCAACCAGAACCTCTCAGAGATGCACCAAAATCCTTTACCAGAGATTCTGGCAGGGTGGCACATGGCTCTGGGAGTCAGGTTGGGCACAGACTTAGCGAGGAGGGTGTCTCCTTGATTCAGAGAGCAACTGGACAGTCACAGAACTGGACACAGGCAAGGTTGATTGACTGCAACTCTGCTCAGGTCACCCCAGGTCAAAAGGGTCATTACAAACGATTCCTATTTCTGCCATATTCAACTCTTTAGTTTTTTCCTTCTAAAAGCCCAGAACTGTACTATCCAATTCCACTGTGGCTATTTTTGATTAAAACAAAAGAAAATTTTTAAATCCAGTTCCTTGGTCACACTAGCTACCATTTCACATAGTCAGTAGCTACCTGTGGCTGGTGGATTCCATACTGGACGGCACCAATGCACAGCATTTACATTATCACAGAAAGTGCTTCTGATTGCATGATCGCAGCACACCAAGCTCAATCTAGAAGGCATAGAACTGAGTAACTCTACTCTTTGCAGCGTAGAAGAAATTAATAGACAAAATAAGAACTGTACTTTAGAAAGAGTCTTTTCTACACATCATCACCACCAACCTCATGACTGCCCTGTGAGGCAGACCGGTAGATTTCAATATGCCCATTTTATTTAGATGAGGGAAATGGGTTTGTGTAAAGTAAATGGCATAAGGGTTATAAATACTGAGTTGGCTATGGTTAAAATTAAAACCAGGCCTTCCAATTCCAAGGTCAAAGCTTTCTACTGTTACATGCAACTGCTGCAAATAATGTTACCCGCCAGGTACTTTAGTGCTACCAAAAAAGCCCAGGCCTCCCAGAATGAGGTCGACAGGCCCCTGTAGTGTTTTTATTGATTGACTGATTTTTGAAGTGATAACGAAACTTTGTACAGTGTAGTTTGGCAGCTGTAGAGGTAGGAAGCCTTGCGGTTCAGATCCCGACTCATTTACTTACTATTTACTGAGCAGAGAGCAAGGTATTTACTGTCTCTGAACCCCACCTTCCTTTTCACTCAATGAGGATGACAGTACACTTACTTCATAGTGCTGTCAGGGATGAAATAAGATGAGGCGTGTGAAACAGGATTATGCACAGTGCCTGGCACATATTAGTGCTCAATGCACAATAATTTTTTTTTTTTTAGATGGAGTCTTGCTCTGTCACCCAGGCTGGAGTGCAGTGGTGTGGTCTTGGCTTACTGCAACCTCCACCTCCTGGGTTCAGGCAATTATCCTGCTTCAGCCACCTGAGTAGCTGGGATTATAGGTGTGCACCAACATGCCCAGCAAATTTTGTATTTTTAGTAGGGACAGGGTTTTACCATGTTGACCAGACTGGTCTTGAGCTCCTGACCTCAAGTGATTCACTCACCTTGGCTTCCTAAAGTGCTGGGATTACAGGCATAAGTCACCATATCTGGCCTTTAATGCACAATAATTGTCAATGGTAAGTGGTAAAAATGTACAGTGCACTGTCACATGCAATAGCCTATGAAGGCTTCAAGACAACGAGTTATTACAATTATTCCCCTTTTTACAGGTGATAGCTCTGAATCTTAGTGAGTAAGAGACTCAAGTTCACACAACTAGAATGCTTACACCTTAGGGAATGAACTCAGGCTATTTGGACTCCTAGTCTTATGCGTTTTTTGCTATACAATGTTAGTTTTCTGGAGAGAAAGGAGCTGTGGGCACCAAGGCATGGTTAGAGAAGGTTTAGGTATCCCTCTTAATTTCCACTTTCCCCTGTCTTTATGGTTAATTAATGATTTCTTAGTCTTACGTAAAGTGCTGGGCAAAGGCAGCTTTGAGCATCCCCTTCTGCCATAATTGTTACCCTTAAGCCCTTCCTGTATAGAGATCCTAGAGCCCCACTGGTAAAGAAGTAATATCTGCATAATCAAGTGGGCTTAAATATGAAGAGACAAAAGTGGCTTAAAGTAGAGCATTCCAGTTTTCTCCCTGAAAAGCCTGTGGATCGAACACTCTTCATCCAAACTTCCCTCTGTCTTGACTCACTGCACTAGCAAAAGGCAAGGCCACAGCATCCCAGAACCCCAACTGAGTTGAGCCGAGCTGCAGCTGACCTGCAGATAACCACAGACCTACGAGTGAGAATGTATGCTGTTGCAAGTCACTGGGTTTCAGAGTTGTTACACAACCATTTTACAGCAAAAGCTAATTAGTATCTGTCACACGCAGGGTGGGAGGCACTTACCCCGCCACAACGATCTCAAAGTCCCCATCATGGTCCACATCAGTAACTGCCACACCATAGTTGAGCTGGGTGGGGTTGCTGTCATAGTCAGGGGGCAGAACGGAGTTGGTAACTGCAGTGAACATGGGTTCAGCCCGCTGGGACCCCTCAGTGAGGGTCAGAAACCAGAGCGGCAGCAGGAACAGCAACATCCTGGACATCTGAAACCAAAAGTGACAAACATTACTGAAAGAACCTGTAACCAAAGCAACCCAACATCAAAGTCCCGGGTAGGCCCAGAATGCCTTTCTCCCCTGTTCACGGAGAGCTTGGCAGCGCCTAAGCTGCTGCTTTTCCACAAGCCCTGCCCGGCCCATCCTGCCTCCATCATGGCTGATTGCCCTTAGCCTGCTCTGCTTTTTCTTTTTCTATGGCACCTATCATTGTATGGTGTACGGTATTATTTACTTATTATTACACTTATTATTTTTTGTCTGTCTCCCTCTTCTAGAATGTAAACTCCACTTGGGCAAGGATCTCTGTTGTATTCACTGATAGTCAGCAAACCAAGGATAGTGAACATAATAGGCACTTCTTTCCTTCATTTATTTTATATTTGTGGAAGGAAGGAAGAAGAAAGGAAGGAAAGGAAGGAGAAAGGGAGGGAGGGAGGGAAGGAGAAAGGGAGGGAGGGGAGAGAGGGAGGGAGGGAAGGAGGAGGAAAAGAGGGAGGGAGGGAGGGAGGGAAAGGTATAAATACAAAGGCATTTCCCATGATCTTCGAGAAAGACTGGGAGAATGAAGAACATAACAGCTCTCAAACCATGCAGAGTTTGGATAAGACCCTCATGAGTATCCAGATCTAGAACAATAATAGAAGCAAAAAGACCGACCTTCTGTGGAACATACTCCAGAGGTAGCCAGGGGGAATATGTGACTTGGCACATTCCCCAAGCCAAGATCCCTTCCTAGGGCAGCTGTCCATTGCCTCCAGACCAAGAAGCAGACAGTTAGGGGAGGTGTTCCAGCAGGATCTGGCGGGAAGCGCATCATTCACTCAGAGAAATTAAACCATTGTATGTGTGTTTTATTATAAATTAATTATGTATAATGCATTGTATAATTCATTATTATATCTCTAACATAACTCAGGGTGTTGCCAAGTAGCCTGGGGCCATGGGAGCCAGCAGCACATGCCCAGGAGACAGATGAGGATGGCCAAGGAGGTGGAGGGACTCCACCCACTTTGAGTGAGAGCAAGGGAGACACTTGGAAAGCTGCAGATGGCACCACCCTGAGACTCTGCCCCAAGGCCTAGATTCAGTACTCATGGAATGTTTAGAAGGCTCTGCTGGAAGGAGGACCACAAAGCCTGCATAGGTCCAGTCCCAGCAGGCAAAGCGGTACTTTCCTGCCTTCAGAAGGTAACAGACTTCTTCTAGATGGAACTTTTCCTGCTGGCTTGTCAGTGCCTCTGGCAGCCAAGAGCAAGCCTGAGTGAGGCTGATGTCTTAATGAAGGGAAGAGCAAGGAAGATCTGAAGACTGTCTCCCCATATGGAGACAGATGCTCCCGCCAGCAAATGAGCTTGCTGTTCAAGGACTCAGAGACCAAAATGAAGGACCTGGGCACTGCCTTCAAAGCCTGACATGATTCAGAAGCCTCCCGAATGCCTTGCTGGAGAGGAGCAAGGCTCCAATTGCAGGGCAGAAACTGGGAAGGAGGTTCTTGTAGTGTGTTCACAGGGCACATTTGGGGTGTGGCATTACCAAACTGAGGTCATTCCAAATTACAGAGATGTTTGAACTAGACGGTATCTTCTACTGAGCTTTCTAATCACTAAAGACAAATGCATCATGAATCACTACAAGAGCTCTGCAACTTGGCAGGAAGTTTGATTGGATAAAGGAAACTCATAATTGGATTAATGAGCAGCTGGGTGGGGACAGGGGAGGAAATGGGAAACTAAAGAGTATTTAATAACCAGTGTTGACACACTGAAATGTAGCATGGATCTGAAGGTCACTGGACTTTTCAAGGGATGACCTCTGTTTTAGTGGACAGCAAAGGAGTTTCAACTTGAGGGCCAAATCCAATTGATTGGCAGTGGCTGGAAAGAGTGCTGTGATCAGCTTACATCAGCAAGGGCATGGAAGAGAAAAGCAGCATCGGACCTATCTTTTAGAAGCTAGTTAGTTCCTCCCAGGCACCACACCTGCAATTTGGGTCACGGCCACCAGGGAGGCTGGTCCCATTCGGGTAATATGAGCCTGAAAGTTCTCATCATTAGAACCTTTCTAATGAAAGCCCTAAGAGTCAAGAACCATGATCGAGCCTCTTGAGTTTTACTTTTTCTTTTAATTAAAGGAGACATATGAAAGATGTAGCTGCTGTGTTATCCATTTTCAGATAAATAACCTAAAGCAAGATGAGAAAGCAAAAACGCACCTATTAGCTGACCTCTATTTTGCTTAGGTGACCTTAAACAAGTCACGACCTCTTTGGGTCTCTGCTTTCTTTTCCAAAATGAGGGTTTGGAGTTCTTAAAGGTTTTTTCCAGCTCTAAAATTCTATGATGAATTAAAGGATTTTTTTTTTTTTTTTAGATTCAGACCTTTAGCAGTTTTTTCCCTCCTGAGCTGCTTCTATAAACTTCAGGCCAACCCATGTGGTTTTTCTTTCTGAACATATTAAACATATTTTGAACAAGACAAGCTTTTCAGTAGGGTTCTACAGTAGTTATCTCACAAGGGCCAAGGCCAGAGAGGACCGAGCCATCATTAGTGTGGATCCTGAACTCACCCAGCATAAGTAGAGCAGTGGCTGGCCTCCCATGAGACCAGGGAGAGAGTGAAGCAGGGAGAATAGGTCCTTTACATTTCATTCCTCTGCCATGCCAAAGGCACCCATTGCACCCACCGGGCTGCTCAGTATCCTTGAAAGGTCAGGGGTAAGCAGTGGGCTGTCTCGATGGTGTACTGGGCAATGGTTATGGTGAGGAAACCTAGGAGAAGGTCTGTAAGAATAATTTTACCCTCTTTTGGGGGTTCAGATAAAGGAAATCATTTAAATGCTCTTCTCCACCCTGGCTACTAAGAGCAGTCGGCAGACCAGTCCCTCAGTGTCATTCAGGAGCTTGTTGGAAATGCAGAATCTTGGATCCCACTCCAGACCTAATAAATCAGAATCTGCATGTTAAAATTTGAGAAACACTGCTCAATCTTGGCTGTGCATTGGAATCATCTGGGGAGCTTTACAAAACTTCTCATGCCTGACAATAGTTTCTCGGATAAGATAGTAAAAGCACAGACAACAAAAGAAAAACTAGCTAAAATAGACTGCATCAAAATAAGAAAACTTTTCTACATCAAAGGACACAATCAAAAGAGTGAAAAGGCAACTCACAGAATGGGAGAAAAATATTTGCAAATCATGTATCTGACAGGTATTAATATCCAGAATATATAAAGAACTCCTACAACTCAACAACGAAAAAACTAAACAACCTGACTCAAAATCAGGGACTTGAATAGACATTTCTCCAAAGATATACAAATGCTCAATAAGTACATGAAATGTCACTAAATCATTAGGGATATGCAAATCAAAACCACAATGAGATACCATTCCACACCCATTAGGATGGTTATGATAAAAAACAAAAATAGAAAATAAGTGTTGGTGAGGATGTAGAGAAACTGGAATCCTTGTGAATTGCTGGTGAAAAGGTAAAATAATGCAGCTGCTGTGGAAAACAGTACGGCAATTCCTCAAAAAACTCCAATTAGAATTGTCATATGATCTAGCAATTCCACTTGGGCATGTACATGAAAGAACTGAGAAAAGACACATGAGCAGATATTTGTATGCCCATGTTCATAGAAGCATTCCTCACAATAGCTAAAAGTAGTAGCATCCCAAGTGTCCATCAACAGTTAAATGGATAAACAAAATGTGAGATATGCATACAACGAAATGTTATTCCGCTTTAAAAAGGAAGGAATTGCTTTTATATAGGAAGAAAGAAAAAAATAAAAAATAAATAAAAGGAAAGGAATTCTGACACATGCAGAGCATTCCCCAGCAGAGCAGAAGCTGGGGAAGCCACCATCCAGGTCCCTTCCCCAGCTTCTGTTTACAAGGTGGGTAAATCTTGAAGACATTATCCTAAGTGAAATAAGCCAGTTGCAAAAGGACAAATACTGTATGTTCCATTCTACGAGGTACCCAGAGTAGTCAGATTCACAGAGGCAGAAAGCAGAATGGTGGTTGCCAGAGGCTGGGCAAAGGGGGAAATGAGAATTCGTGTTTAACGGATTATGGAAGTTTCCATTTGGGAGATGAAGAAGTTCTGAAGACGGATGGTGGCGATGATTGTACAACAATGTTAATGCACATAACGTCACTAAAGTATATAGTTAAATATGGTTAAAATTGCAAGTTTTATGTTCTGTGTATTTCATCACAATAAAAAAATACTAATGCCTGGGTCTCTTCTCAAGAGATTGTGACTTCACTGGCACAGGATGTAGCGAGGGTGTCAAATTTTTGTTGCTGTTAACATATAATCATGGGGATATCAGATTTTTAAAAGCTCCCACGTGATTCTAATACATTGCAAAATTTGATGAGTACTGTTCTATATCAGTGCTTCTCAAACTTAAATGTGTGTATGAATCACCTGGTGGTCTTGTTAAAATGCAGATTCTGATTCAGTGACTCTGCAGTGGAGCCCAAGATTCTATATTTCTAACAAGCTCCCAGGTGGTGGTGGTGATGTTGGTCCATAAACTACACACTGAATAGCAAGATTCCATACTGTAGCTCCCAGAGTCCTGAAACCAGGCTATATACTACAGTGAAGGTACAAGATTGCTTCCAGAACTGTCTCCTCTGCCTCTAGATCTAAGGAGCTGAAATCAATCCTAGGCTATGCAATCTCCAGAGCTGCCCAGGCTCAGTTTATCTTTATACACTCAAAGTGCTGGCTGTCTTCAGCTCAAGATCAAAGTACTACAATTGACAGGGAATGACAAAGAGGGATTCTGACTCTAATTTTTATGAAGAGGTGAGAAGGGGAAGGGTTGATGCTGGAGAGGGCGGTCAAGTCAAGGAGACAAAGGATAGCTCCCATCAAAGGGCAGAGCCTAGGAAGAAGGGGTTCTGGGCAGGAATATGCAGGGCAAGATAGAAACACATGACACTGTGTTCCCTGCCTGGT